CGCACAAACTTCGATTGAATTTTAATGTTGTTTATATCCGAAGCCGAATGCTTCGGATATAAACAACATTAAAATGGGTCTTTTATGCCGCAAAAAGCTTAATAAAAAAATTAAAAAGACCTATAGATGGTAGTAACCTATTCTAGGCCTTTTAGACTGCCATATGTGTTGGCCTTTTATCTGGTCGTCATTACAGTACACCCTTTGTTTACAATATGAGATGAGTCGTCCTCCGTTATGGGCACTGCAAATGTCATATTTTCTTACAAAAATAATATAAACCTTCCGATCTGCGTGTAAATAAGTTCGCTCTCAGATAGAAGCATGAAAAATAAATTTTGGGCTACAGTGAAAGCGTTCCTTTCGCTCAAAGGATACATTCAGTAAACGAGAAATGCTGATTGAATGTTCAGGTTTATTATCATTTATAATTCGCTGGTTAACAAAATACAGGTGGCTTGTTTGACAAAGAATTAGTTCAGGTTGTCCTGGGTGTCTTGATAGCTTATTGGATGACGTATTTTCACCCCTAATGTTTGGGACACGTCGTTGTCAAAATTCGAACCCAGGCATAGACAGACTTCGTTTTGTGTTGACAGGAGCCAGTCAACAGTCTGATGGAATGTCGAAACACAAAGGTCATCCTATTTATCATTCGTCTTAGTTAAATCAGATCAGTATATTCCAGGCCTATTGTAAGGTGTACACATTGCTTGCTCGATCGCACATATATACCATTGGCTGTGCGTGGACCAACGTCCCTTCTTTTCTTGAAGTGACTGTGAAATATATAAATGGATTATGAAAGTGAGTTTTGTCTCATGAAACCTTTCTGAAGGATGGGTTTTATTAAAGCCGTTTAGCTTATTCCTCTCTGGGAACGTGCCTAATATAAATCTTCTATGAAGCGTACTCTATTATTAGACGATTACTATCGTTGGATGACTTAAAATTAAATTGACGTGTAGTTAACTTCGTTTATAGTACCGGAACGGCTGTTACTTTGTGTCAGTTCATTATATTGTAGATTCTCGTTATGTGACCATCAGGACAAGATTCGTCCTATCAAGGGAACGATAAATACTTGGAAATAACTTTGCAATAATTATAGTCTCAGTAACTTCTCAGGTGAGAACAAAAGCAAAGAGGATGAGCTTCATCCAGTTTGAATGAAAGTCTCATTCTAAGCTGCACATGTCTGCGCACGCTTTTATCACAGAACGCGAATTTAACTTTTTTATCAAAAAAAAAAAAGCTTTACGGAATGACATTCGCGACCACCTTCAAATATTCCGGGACTCAGGGAAGCCTGTCTCCGACAACATTGTGATGATGACATTCTTTTTTTTTTTTGTTTCAGAACAGAGAACACCCCACACTTGTCTCTTATTATTTACATAAGCGTGTGCTAGGCAGTAAAGCCTTCCTTCATCCTGTCGAGTTCGGGATCGCATAAACGCAATGGGTACTCAGACGCTTTGGCAGGTGATGAGATTTTAACAGCGGGAGTTATGGCTAACGAAATAATATCAAGTTCCTCTATTAATCTGCTTCTATTAATAGATTCCAAATGAATATTTTATATTTGACGCGAACATGTTCCATTATCGTAGTAGACCATGTGACCGAGACAAAGAGAGCGTGTAACATCTTATTTCTGCCGCCTGCCGTCAACCGACCCGGTTAAAGATATTAGATTTATGTTTATTGTAGAGTACAGTCACAGTGATGTAGAAATAGTCTTTGTCCTAAGATTCGATGGCACTATTTATTTTTGAAATTTGAAAATTATCGAAGTAAGAAATGGTTACGCACAATCATTTTGTATTCTTCACAGCTAAACAAGATTTTTTGCCTGTTGTTGATGCTAAGTTTGTCAACGCTCATCTATCCCATTCGTCCGCTACCCATCAATTGTCCTGTTGTCCGTAGTAAGAAAAGGAGCCCTATCTACCGAGAGTATGCTGATATTTGTCCTGAAGTGGATATTAAAGGGATATTTTCAGGAAGTAGCACGAGACTGCTTATTCGTGGCTTAACGAGTCTAACGTTAAAGGCACTTCTCGATAGCGGCAATCAAATCAAAAAAAACCCTTGCAATTTATTGTCGAAGGTTTACCGATATTTCTTAGTTCCCAGTTCTATTCTCAGTTGCTTAAGTGTATAAGTTTATCAGTCAATGTTAGAGACCCTTGTTTAGAACACCGAATTCACACGCGCTAAACTTTAATTTTTTGCTGTATCACGTGGATATTGTCAGAATATTCGCAGTTAACGAAAGTTTATATAGACTGATACAATTTTCCAAAATTGCATGGATGTATATGGCATGCGCTAGGTGTACAACGCGTTCATGATCACTGTGAACCAATTAATTATGAAGTTCTCCAAATCGGAAATCAAAATTCTTTTGTACTAGCACAAATTATGCGGCTCTGGAAGATTGCTTTGCAAACAGCAACGAATATATTCGTAATGAAAAATATCGCAGACACACACAGGACAGGAAAAAGGCTCATAGATAGGTATACTAGAAGATACGTTTGCAAGGTGAGGATACTTTTTGCGTGTAAAATCAGACGGCTGAATCTTTTGATCATTGCAGTTCTACTTCCTTAAAGCGATTTTCATTTATTCAAATGTCGACCTGGTTGCCCTGGTTGTCCTTGTAGAGTACAAAAATAGCAAGCTGCTATTTATCTATCATCAATGTCTCCCTTAATGCAATCGGTAGAACTGCAGGAGAGCAGTGACAACGACTTCAAGAAGGTCTCTAAATGATACAAATGAAGGCTTCCACACTTACCCACCTTGGAGTCTACGCCAGCACCAGCACGTAAAATGATTTAGATTGCAGCTCGGACCAAACACTCCTTTGCAAATTATTACCCTAACTAAATCAATGACTATTTTTACCGTATTTTTGGCTAGTTCCTCTCGTTTACACACATAACAGAGACTTGAGATGTGCTTTTGGTATAAGAAATAGTTTTATCTCGGCACGCCTCTATCTGGCCCCTGCTATCGATTGCCTAGACATATGCTATTGATTTAATTTCTCAGCACGTCCTCATATCAAACGTCTCCTTATATACTGCTACTTTTATATATACTGCTAAAAAACCAGGAAGACTGACTCACAAATGAAATTTTGGGATGGTATCCCGACAGCTGTGCCGAATAGCCATAGTAGCAAATGATAAACAAACTTCGATAATAACATGACAAGCTATAAGTATAATTAAGGTTCTATACAACAACAGATTATTATCAAGCATTAATCGTGAAGTTTTGTAAACAAACCGTAAAGCAACTGACGATGTTTGTGTAGGGTGATGCTGGAATTTTGTCACGGTGCCAAGGGGCGACGGAGATTACAGATTGGGCGTTACGAGATGTGGGCTATAAGGCCCCGTAGGTATCTTATTCGGGCTGGTCAGTGGTTCTGCTTCTAGTTATTGTTAGGCTTATTTGTAATGTTGCCTATTGATTCGAGTATAGGGCTCATATAGTCTACCATAGTGTTCGATATTTTCACTGTATGCCTACGTATGATGCGCTTTAAATAGTTAGATAAAGTTCTATCGTTTCTGATATTGGAGTTGAAAAAAAGCTAGGTAGAGTTACTTCAGAGTCGTTCAATGCAGATAAATCGAAGCGAAGTTCTTTTAATGCGTTCGCTCGAGCCAAATTCAAGTGTTTGAATTGGTATTTCCCGGCTGTGGCCGAACCTTGGTGTGGATTGCCCCATAGCTTTTGGCTTTGGATCTCCTTGGATAGTGCGAGCAAAGCAGCGAGATGCGGGCTTGATCTCACAAACACTCAACCTCTGTGTATACCTTTTCGCCGTCGTCCGTCATACTTGCGTTAACATTGCACAGCGTATTGTTCGATAATCGGAAAATATCTATATTTATAAATACAGCGAACAGAATTTCTTATTAGAAGTAATGCAAACAACTTAGCTAGCTGTGTTTATTATGTTACTTACGACATATATTACATGACAAGTGTGATCATACGAGGAAACGTATGCCGTTGAAAGGAAGCTTTAACCAAGGGTTCAGTTACCTTCCATTGTGAGACGTATATGTCGTCTGAAATAAAGCAATTGACACTTTAAGGTCTCTAATTCTTTAATATAATTTCCTCGTTCAGCTTCGAAATTTAGCTCATAATATTTGCACCACAAATAGATCTCTCTGAATGAAAATATCCTTCGAAAAAGAGAAAATTCTTCATTAAGATTACGTTATTCGGACTTTTGTTACACGTGTACTTTCGAAGGCCGATTGAATAAACGTATTTTTACCAAATGTTTAATTTAACGCAAAATAGATCCTCATAGATTTCTTATGAAGCTTATCTAAAAAACATAAAGTGTAGATGATTCTAGATATATAGATTTTAAATATTTAAATTACAGAATAACAACGAACACGATCGATGTTTCGACGCTGAACTAATACGATCTCTGTAATAGGTATGATTTAAAAGGGCACTGTGTAAACACTAGTCTCTATCCTAAAATTGTTATTTTGTTTAGGAACGAAGGTACACGTATAAAAAAAAATTAAAATTATGCCTAATAGGATCATATCTTATTCAAATCAGCCAATTCAAAAATGATACACTGACGTAAAACCGTACATATATTGAATATGGCATAACTACAGCATCTATATAACTGGCTAATGACTTGTCCGAGCTGCCACCTGTAAATTAGAGCAAAATGAGCGCCATCGCATAGGGTTTAAGTACTATTCATTATATGGGCTATAGCACAGGAAAGTTTGTATATATTTTAAATAACGTGCGATAGGATCTTGCTACGAAGAATATGCGTAATCTTTGTTTATATTAGAGAAAGTTTAGCTAGATTTAGCCAATTCGCAACGTATTAGAGCGAAAATTTAATTTTGACCTCGAATAACTGTACGAAATCAAATAATATCCTTATCTAATTACGATAGATAATCAATACGAACCTAATGCACCATTGAAAATACATTTATTTTTCCTTTGAGATTCAGTCTGTCGTGTCTGTAATTATCCTTATTATTGGTCATGTCTCTCGTCTCTTCGAGATATATATATATATATATATATATATATGTGTGTATATATAAGTCATCAGAAATTATATATCTTTTTCGCACTTTGTCTCGTCCTTGTTTCATAAATTTCTTCTGTAGCTGTAGCTAGCTAGAATTTTTTCGCGATGTACAGATGTGCCTTAACGAAACCTGGCCTGGTCTCTCATCTTCAAGCCGGACACCTTCAAGCGTTATAGACAGCTTTGTTCACAGTTTGGCTCCTCATTGTATTTGTATATCTAATGTATTAAATCATCTTGTTTTTCCAACATGGGGATCCGTCCTTGTTCATTTTCTCATCTATATGTATTTGTGCTTGAGTCCTGGTGAGTACTTCCCATAGTCGATTCAGGCTGCTTTGGAATTCATCTGACCTAAGGATGGTCGTCCTCGGGGTCGTTTACCAATTTCTTGCTTTGGACTGCCTCTTCTTAATTACACTTCATGTCACGGCCCCTTTGTGACGGGCAGGGCGCCTTCATGCACTACGCTTAAGCCTTGTGAGTTCCTTGTTACCAGCCTCGTGTCTCGCTTCATGCGGTTTGTAGATAATAACATATTGTGTATATATTTAGGCATCGCAGTGGTAGTAGGAAGAAAGCGCTGCAAGCGCTACTCATCAGACGCATGTCAATCGCGTGCTTTTCTTTTCGAAATTATATTGTTCGAAAGTAGGCTGATGATGTCGACACGATACCCTTTCTCTTTTGGACTGAAACTTTGTGGCACTCGTCAGCAAAATCGTGGTCAGTTAAATCGTGGATGTTGTTCGCGTATCTTAATTTAATTTCAAAACGAACGTATGAACGATACAGCGTGTCACAGCCATGAATTTCGCACACTATTCAGTCTTATAGGAATAGAACAGTAGCTATGGTCGTTTTTGTTGGGAGCTACACAGTGGTTATCTTCCTCTTTGCGCGTACTGCATAATAACAAAGCACCGGCAGGCGATTGTTTATCGTCAGCGCTTCTCAACAAAAACTCAACAAGCTGTGTGTACGTGTGTGTGGACAAAGAGGGAGGAAGGGTGTCTAAATGAAACTCAGGACAAACGTATACGCGGCGAAAACGCTACAAGGCCATGACTCGATTCAACGGCATATCTCGTATAATCGTCGAGTTCTCGCAGATGTGTTTCCCCGACGTACTCCCGTATTGCGTTGGGGTTTTTCTGTTATTCTGCTAATTTAGTATCCTTTGTTCTTCTAATTCCTGTTATTTTTTCGACCTGATCGCGAACAACACTCCCGTGTCGCGCGCGGAACGTTCTTCATTCTAGTTCTCCATGTAACCACCACGGCTGCACGTCATCTCGTCGGCATCTTCAGCCTTGTGTTTTGCGTCTCTTGCCAATTGGCATTTCTTGTGCACTCGTTACGAGGAGTGGTAAAAGGGTTGCTAGGCATTCGTGATGACCCGTCTAAGGCGAGATTTTCGGGGGTAACGATTTTACCAGAAGGACGCAAATTCGATGGGGATGATGAAGATCATTTTTTAACCATATAGACGTGGCAATGGCAGGGCAGGGTAGACAAGTCCTTCCCAGTTCAGCTCAACAGGTAAACGCTGGTACTCATCCCTATAAAGCCAACAACAAAAGTCCATGTGATTAGCTCATGTCAGGGTCGAATAACGGTAACGAAACGAAACAAAACAAAAAGACGATGAAATAGCATGAACATGATTTGACACGGTGTATGGTGTAAAGTCTTGTTTATAAAAATGTTAAAAAAATAAGAAGCTGTATTAATTTATTTTATACGCCGTCTGTACCAACGGGTACTTCTAACGCACAGTGATTGGAGAGGTCACTGCCAAGATGGCCTCATCGTTTGCATTGGTCTTGGGGTCATTGTCCTCTATGATTCGACGGCAAAATAAAAGATAATTAATATGTGAAAGTACTGCGTTTATTTTAGAAATATCTGACGCAGGAATCCTAATCAAGTTTGCCAGTTCAAAAGTCGATTAGATTGAATGAGTCTGTACAGATTTGATTGGCCCAGGCGGACATAAGGGTTCAATTACGTAATACTTGGCGTTTGCGTCTGCCCCTTAGCTTTTGCTCGCTGATTATAATACACGGTGTAGAGAAAACTCAGCATTTCCTTTATACAATGAAAAATGCTAATGGACCTTCAAGAGGGAGTTTTGAGAGGCGATCGATGTCTGACGCCGGCCAAACTGTCAAAGTATGGATAAGGTCTGCATCAGTACAACTCAAGAAGGGCAGAGAAAGACTTAGCTTTTGCGGATACGATTCTGAATCCAGTCAGGATATTAGACAAATATATTGTGATCTCTTGGGATAAACAGCGAAGTGAAGCATAAATAACGCAATACAATCCACCGTTCCTGTCCGAGTCATGCAAATGAACACACGGTGATGCCACAAGCATAAATAGTCAAACATTGTCCTGGCAGACATATGTGTGATGTGTACTATGAAATTCTATCTTGAAGTGTATAGGAAATCTGTTGATTCAGCTTTTTTTTTGCGGTTTATCTGTACTTCGAGTTGGCTTTAAAGAAACCCTTAAAGATCAGACAAGAAGTCGTCCAGTGACTACCATGCAGTCAGTAGCTGCGTTATAGACTACAGTAACAATGTTAATAGAAGCAATAAAGGGAAAGCACGGACATGTATACATAACCACATCGTTACTGAAGTTACTTTATTTCTATTTCAGTTTCAACTCACCGGAACACGGCCAGATGAACCGGCTTAAGGCATCAGTTTGGGCGAATTCAACGATGGCGTATAATACAGTTTCATTTTAAAACATAGTGACTACTGAAAACAAGGCTTGATTTTCAGCAACAGCGTTTCATCAAATTAACTTACGAGCGACCATACGTTGGCGTACTTGAATTGAACAGATTCGGTGTAGATAACGTCTCAGATATTTTAGTGTAGCTAAATGATGTGCTATGGCCAATACGAGTAAATATACGTAAGGACATACTTACTGAGAATCGGGCGCCACTTCTGCCCGGGGATCGCGATCAGCCCTGTAACGAAAGCTTAGCTTACTTTCAGCCCATCACAAAGTGTAACAGCTGTTATAAGCGTTTTCATAGTGAACAAACAAAAAGTTCAGAGCTGATAGATCAGTTAAAACATCAGATAAATACGAACGCAGCGGCTTGTGCTTTGTCTGATCCAAACGTATGCTAGACTAAGATTACTCGGCAGGTTCGAGTATCTAGAAACTGGCCAAAAAAAAGTTAACGTTCAATTGAATTTGGTTTGATAACTGAAACATTTTTTCGACGGTTAACACGTCTATTCACATCGACGCAGCTGGCGTCCCAACGACATTGCAAATAATGTTTTGCTTAGGAAATTCAAAACTGGCGCACTTACACTGATCGCTTGTTAGCAAAGAGCATATAGCCGCACTTGCAGACGCCGGCATTGAAACGGAAGCCTGTCTTCTTGCAAAAGGCATCGCAGTCCATGCGCTTGATTCCGTCAGCGTGAGCCGCTACTACTAACAGAAGGGCAAGGAAAAGGGCAAGCAGCTTTGCTAAGGCACTCATATTGACTGTTGACTACTTCCAGCTATTTCTTCCTGTTATTCGTCTACAGAAAGGTTTCAACTACTACTTGCGTAATGTTATTTGGGTTGACGAGCGATTGTCTCTTGTTCACTCTGCTTTCTGTGTCCTTTTCCTTTCCTACAACAGCTCGTAGAGCTTATCTGTTCGCTCTTGTCAGGTCTTCGTTCTTCGTCTCAAGTCCTCGATTAAACTGAAAGGGCGACAGTTTGGAATTGAGAAGTTTGACTGGACTAGTACTTTTAGCTGCTTTCTCTTGACGGCGAACTCCGTGCAAACTGCCCTTGCCTGTTCTTCTGGCGTTAAACTTTGGATTCAGCTTTTTTTTTTTTTTTTTTGTAGAAATGTTTTTCGACCTGTGCTTGTTCCTGAGGGATACTGACGTACTAACCTACCGCTTCTGCTTTTATTGCTGTTCTTAAGTTGCAGCGGCGGCAACTGCCGCGCCAAAGGACCGGCCTGGTAAGGGGAGGAGTCGCGCATGCGCCCTGTGAGGAAAAAGACTTGTGCGTTTGCTTGGCTTGTGGTAGTGGCTGTGAATTCGTGGTAGTCGGCGGTGGAAACGACATCGTTGGTGCTGGTGCTACCGTCTGTGTGACACTGACCCTGCCTGCCTATTACATGAATGCTGATGCTGCTTTGGGGACAGGACAGGTCTCGGGTGAAGGGGCAAATGATGGCACGCGTTAGCGACGTAACCGACATGGCCGAGCCACCATAACCAAACCGACTAGTGAATAGGGGCGGCAGAAGAAAAAGCGGCATTTACGTCAAACGTAAAACCCATAGGACCGACCAATCCAGGACACTGATCGCCACCGTGGTGCTTACCTTGTGTCAACGGCATGCAAGCACACATGTGGAGATGCAGCAATCTAAAAAAATACACTAGACACATATTACAGACACAGAACTCAAACATACGCGGACTTACGGCTGCAATCAGATGTAAGCATATGGCAAACGAACTAGAAGAGGAGAACCACCGAATGGTGATGACATATAGACGATGGCTGGCGCACGATAGCTAGCAAAAGCCGGCAGGGAACACCGATGCTGGGACTTGCGGCAGCTCACCCGGCTACTAAGGAACTTATCCAATTAATGTACTATCCTTCCTACGCACTCTTTTCAGCTGAAATCAGTTTCCTTTTCGTAGTACCCCTATGTTCCACTATCAGTACCCACTTGCAGTGTTGTAGATTTGTCATTGTATGTTCGCATAAATGCATCTATGATAGTAGTACTGATAAGCTACGTTCGAATTTTATTCAATAGCCAGTGGTGTGTGTAATTTTTCGGGTAGTTGTTTTTTGGTACTTGCTGTCCAGCTAAATCTAAAATTATTGGCCGTGTGCTATTCGTTTTGGGAATACTACTGGTTCTAAATTATAGACGTAAAGTTTTACTGCCCACCATCGACTTAATCGTGGTACCACGAAATATTCATACTGTATACCTCATGCCTGCGCATGCACATGTAGCCCCTGTATATATATGTATGGATTTGAATACCTGCCTTTACTTCAAGTGAGTAGATTTCCATTGGGTTTATTCAGCTTCCGGTTATGACGGCAATGGCCGTTAACGGCGTAGTTTCAAAGCGTCAAGATTCGTTGACGACACGGGAAGCTGCGCTTGATACGTAGCCAGACGCAACCAGGAGACAGGCCAGCGTCGCTGCCGTCACTGCTGGCGCCGCAAACAGCGGTAACTCGACAAAAACGGCGACATCAGCAGCAGCTGCAGCTCTAACAGCAGTCGTATTAGTACGCCAGAAGCTTCGTGGCAACTTCTCGTTGTGAGCGCGGCTGGAACGATTACAGCCGCGAAGTGCAGGTGGACGCGCAGGTCCAGCTATCGGCGATTCGTTTAGGAAGTATTGTGTCCCATCTTCTAGTGTTTCTGTCATGACTGACCTGACATAATATCATTTTGTGCGCCTTTTGCACAAGGGCCGCCGACGTTTTCCAGAGGATTGTGTACGAATTAATCAAGTCGACTTAACTTTTCTACACAGAAGGAATTGGCGCATGTGTCTCCTGCGCACGTTGTTTTCTTAACAGGACCAAAGGGAGTTGGCCAGGTACGACCCAAGGCTATCATATTCGACACTGATTTATCTAGGAAAACTCTACACCGTTCACTCATTTTGTAAGAATTTACACGACATTATTCAGCCATGTAACGTGTAGCAACGTAATCTAGTACCTATGTTTACTGTTCAAAACGGTATCACTGTTTGCGTCATCGGCATCACTGACAGAAAGATTGTGGGCAGAAAACGATGGCATATTTAATGACATTTGCCCTCGTAATGGTGCAGTTGTGCTAACATGTTTGCTTACATGGATTTAGGAACATGCAAGATTGTCTAGGTCTGAAACCGGGTGCGGGCTCGCTTCGTTTCACGCGGGGACCAGCCATGTGCAACAGCAGTACTCGAAACGCTTACGTTTGATAACATTGATCACTGAAACATGTATTGCTGACTATGGTCGTATCTCGATTACAGGCGCAATAGGTCATCGTTTTTTTACATATTATCTCGTATCTATGACTCGAATGTATACAATATATTCCCATGCATTTAGGCAGAGCTAACAACTATATTTTTCTATTGACTTTATGGTTTTACATTGCAGAATATTAGGTATCCGTGCATTCGTGCTTATAGTAGCATGGAGGTCTGAAGTGAGATGGAAGAATCGGAACTAACCGCACTAGGGTGGCATTGACTCTTCAACCGCCCAGCTCCCTTTTGGCCACATTTTGAAAATATTATATGTTTACATCACAGGTATCACGGGCAGAAATTTTGCCTTATGTGACCATTTATATGCTCATTAGAAATAGCTAACTAAATGACTAGGTCTTGGTTAGAGGCCTGTGGTAGGGCACGGGGAGAGAAAGCCAAAGGAGACATCAGTTGATAAGCCATAGAAACTTTTCGTATAAGGCGATAAATAAGTTCAGATACGACCTTACAAGTTACGATTAAATCCAACTGGATATTACACACACACACACCGGAATCACAGGGGAATTTCTGAGTCGAAAATTAGGGTCGCGCTTTTCCCTCTTCCAACCTCTCCATACCAATAACCACCTATTTAGTTCATATCACGAACGATTTTATTCTTTAGCCTATGTCTGTGCTTTCGACAAACCAGAATAGCAACGTTGTTGTCAACGTGTTGTTCTAGATATTTATTGAATGACAGTCAACAAAACGGCAGAGGAATAAACGCTTATTTACCATAATAGTCACCAACTGAACAGGTAATTTAACTATCGACACGGATATTCCAAGAGAAATAGCGCGCTCTATTTTTAACGTATGTTTACAATAATTTAATTCGTTCTATGCACGAATCTGTTTATATTAGATAGAGAGGATCGTTTAGTCAATTAAGCTTCTAAGCTGTTCTTGTTTACGTTCTACAAAATCAGCGAATGCGATCGTCACTTTATCGTCCAGGAAGATGTGTAAAGATTTTTCAGAGCTTAATCTGGCTTACATGCGAGACTTAGCGCCGCTCTGAAAGCAGGCCTAAAAGTTTGGCATTTGTGACCTGCTTGAGAGCCTGATCACCAACCAGTTGCTGAGTGTTCCTAACAGCGGCCATGCACCTGATGCATTGTACCTTAAGGGATTCTTAGAACACGTCATTCCAAGGGATAGCTTTTGCGTATGATAAGCAGACTAGTAACTGTTAGAGTTTTGGCGAGGATCGTATCCTTTTCATGGCCCGCTCTTGAAAATTTCTTCAAGTGATCATCGTTTCCATTCC